TCATATCATATCTCCTTGAATTGTGTTCTTAAAAGCCAAGTATACCTGATATTATCGTTCTATGGTTTTTTCTATGATGTTTCCTCAACCAAACATGATTATTTATGATTATTTATTATAGTTTCCATGGTTAATTCCTTCCAATTTCTCGTTACAGGTTCGTATTGTGTCGTCCTTCGTAATAGGAAGCCATTTTGTTTGACTTTGTCACATGAATAAAGTTAGAGTTATTCCCCTTTCCCCATTGAAAAAGCATACCCATGAGCATATACAAAATAACAATAAATAACATGTACAAGAATATTACATAAAATAAATAATCAGACGTTTTATTGATTATGGATTGTTTATCAGAAAGTCTTAATACATAGCAGGCCGGTTTAATAGCGTTTCTCGAAACCCCAGAAGTCGTCGTCGTCACTGTGGAAGAACTCCTCGGCGTTGAAGTTGTCTTCCTCTGTCTGGTCGTTGTAATAAATGGCGTTCTCGTCGTCTGATGGTGTGTCAGTAGGGTCAGTGGCGCCGTGGGTCATGGGCGGGTCATGTTACTGTATAGTTATCGTTAATTGGCTAATCACACGCTGTCACTCACTCACACTCGAGGTGAGGAGACGACCCAAGCTGTTTATAACACTGCTGGGCTAACCCTTATCAAAACACCAATTATCGAAATGAGGACTTGTCATACTGGTAAGCTTACTGTACCATTATGGAGAATAACTGTTGTTATAAACAATTAAGTGAATTCTTGAATGGTACCTGTAAGTTATACACAATGCGACATGCTCTCGGCCATTACGACATTAGCGTACGTGAAATGAAATCGGCAGCTTCAATTTGCATTTTTTACCCGCGGACATTACATGGAAGGTGGGTTTTTTCCCCAGATTTTTGTGTCAAAAAAGGGGTGCGGACATTACACAGATGCGGACATTACGTGGGTTTTTACGGTATCTTAAATCTTTGGTCCCTTACTTGATGATGAAAGCCATTCCAAAAGTACATTTTTGCAAGGATTACCTTTCAGATGCGGGATAACCTTGGAGTAACAGTGGACAATATGAACTCCCCATCTCCACCAGAACTTCTCCCACCTATACATCTGTATGCACCCTGGCTGTTTGAGGTAAATCAGTTTTCCTGAGACCTGTTATTTTAGTCTTGAATTTTAAGCTCCAAAGAACTGTAATTATATAGTGATATATACTTTTTTGTTTATCTAGTGTCTGACCCTGTCCAACAAGTACAAACGTGGCAAGTTGTTGGCGTACCAGCTCATGTGTCAGATGGTGGTGCAGCGCCACCCTGTATCATTGCCCTCTGAGCTTGTATCCCAGTTCTATCTGGCTCTCCATCAGGGCCTCACCTCCAATGACCAGGTAACACAGATTATCTCCCTTGTCAGATTTTTAACACAAGTCAGCTTTCTGTCATTTCTTTGCTTTAGACAGATTGTAAGTGTCGATTTCAGTCTTTTCAATTGATCTTTTGATATTTAATAAAAAAATTTTTTACTGCTGACTCATTACATTCTACTTATAATATATACTTCCACAGGACATCATCAATGTATTGGTTCGTAATGCTGGAGCCCGATTTTTCTCCATGCCTCTATTAGGGTCAACTCTGCTTGTTGGCAACTTTATCCATGCAGCCAGTGCAGTACTATCGGCTGTGGACATCACAGAGGTATGAATGAGGCTATTTGCATTTCTATACAGTATCTTCACACAAATGACTGAACTTTATAAATCTATTTGATATTAATCCCTCTCCTTAGTAGAATTGATGTATACATTATTGTTCATATGAATATGATGCTTCTGTTAAATTTCACATTTTTACTGAGGCTCCTATTCATGGTTCAATCACTGCCTTTCTCTCTTGGCTGTAGATTTCGACCACGTTTTGGCATTTCCTTATTTCTGTATAACAGAGGTATTCAGATTTCTTTTGTAGAATGTGTATACTAATTGATATAATAATTATTATATTGAAAGATTTTTATTTAGTTATGACATTTGATGAACTTTATTTGGTTTTTTGAACATCTGCAATCAAGTACTGCACAGTACCATGTATTGTTGGCAGATATGAATCAAATGTTATAGTAAAAAGAAAGTGTATTTTTGCTCTGACAGACTCCACGGACTGAGGCTGTGTCCGTTTTAGGAGCTCTTCTGTGTTTTCCAAACCATCTACAAGAGGTTCAGGTATTGCAGCATGCTGATCTTGCTGTTAAATGTTTACACCTGAACGAGTTTAAGGTGAGCTTCTATGTAAGCCTTTACATATGTTTAACTTTTCTTTAAGTGAGTATGAAGTGTGTTAAACTACAAAGGTGGTGTCCAGTGTAATGTCCTTTTACTGAATTGGTAAGGAGATATAGCTGTACAGAGTAGAAGAAATTTGATTTTAAAAGGTGTATGTTAAGACATTTTTTTGAAGTGAAGGGAACCAGTATAGGATAATTGAATATTTTTGTCTCTTGCATCTGCTAAGAATATTATGAAAAGTTATGATCAAGTTTCAAAGTAAACATCCTTTTCCTTTGAGATTTTTAAAATTTTTTTTGACTAGTAGATTAACAGTGTTTTATGAATTTTCCCTCAGGAACAAGTCATCAACACACTTCTGCGGACCGGGAAGAAAGAGCCAGCTGGACTGGCCCGGTAAGTTATAGGGTATGAAAGGGTCATTAGATTTTGCTGGTCTTTATGTTCTAGTTTCTTTTTTGAGCCACTCATTACATTTTTAGATCATTCTAGTTGTTGGTTTTTAACTCTGAGAGAATGATCCAACTTTATAGGGTTAGATTACAAGTCCAATTCATCAGCTAAAAAGGACAGACCTCCTAAATGTGAAGTTGTGGCTGACCTCCACTTGAGGTATTTATTTACTAGACTTAACATTTGCAGTGATCAAATTAGAATAACAGTTGAATTTTTGTTTAGGTGAAAATTGTATGTTACAGATGTGTTGCTGTCAGTACTATAGGTATATTTCTGTATGAGGAACTTAGCCACGGAACACTACACCCCAAACTCAACGAGGCTGTAACTGTCCTGCTTGGTGCTCTCAGGGTAGGTTTTGCTTGGCAATCTCTAGGATAATGTATTTCCACCAATTTTCGGCAAAGAAGATCACAATAGTTTAAAACTGCAATTTTTGAGTTGAGAACCATTGGTATAATGTTATAGATCCATTATTTTGATACATTGAATAACTAGAAATTGTGGGTAGGAAATAAATCTTTCTTGTCGACTTGTAATAATAGTCATTATATCATGACAAGCTTTTAAGTGACATAAACAGCAAAAAATAGACATTTATTCTACAGAAAAAAAGCTGATGGATAACAGAATTTTTTGTTTTGTTAACTGTTGGGTACTGTACCATCAAGTCTTTACCTGATCAGACTGTTGGTTTGCATAGAAGCGAAGTTATTCATGTCTTATAGGGACTTTGTTGACCTTATTCTTCTTCATTACCCTCAGACCAGAGTGTTGAAACCGGGCAAGATAACTACTCAAAGGTTTTGCAAAGTTATCAAGCTAGTATTCTGTTCTCCATTTAAATCTAAACCTTTTTTCTATTGCCATGGCTCAGGTACACATTTTAGTTGGATGGAGCATGACTATAAAAGAACATGCAGGATAATTACCTGAAACTTTGTTCACTATCATTTTATCACTATGGTGATACCTTTTACAGTGGAGGAGCTATCATTTTTCATTGTTACCATTGAAACAGATTAGAAATATATAGAAAAAAATTGCATTTCACAATTTCCAGAGCATGTCTACAAAATTGTTTTAAGAACTACCTGAAACTTTGTACAAGCTAGTGCTATCTTGTTGTGTTTTACTACTGGAGGAATTTTCATGTTGGGTATTTTCATTTTTCCATTGTCTTTCAATACATAGTATTAATCATTGACAAAGTTTTTAAGTTTTTATAAGTAGCCCTGATATTAATATTTATCCAATAATGAATTATATAACGAAGGTTATTATGTTATCATTTTATTTACTGATGATACAAAAGCTACCCAAAAACATCCGCAATGAAAGATGATCTACTTCAAAATATCAGTAACAGTGGCGGAGTGGGGTTAACACTCGTTATAGTTATATTGTACTTTAACCAGCAGGGCATGGGCAAATAATGTATTTTGTCACCAGTTGAAAGACATCGATTACTTCCCCTGTTTGTACATGTCGTAATTTCTCTTACAGCCTTTGTGGGAAAAATACCAACAATTCAGTCATGCACATTTTTGAAGCATTGTTGAATCAATATATTTCAGTGTGTAAATCGGATGGTTTCCAAGCTTGCATCAGACATGTTGTGTATGCTGTGTGACCACTCCGACAAACTTCTCAGCTATGATCCGGCTTTGCCTAAACGTATTATAGAGGTAAACATGCTCATTATGAATATGTAGTAAAAGCTCTATTTTTACTTGAGTTATTTCTTAACAAGTCTTAATTTTGAGGAGGGGTGGTGGTAGGGGAAAAATGATATTTTTACTTAAATTATTTCTGAACAAGTCTCAATTTTGAGAAGGGGTGGTGAGAGGGAAGAAATGATTGAAAAAGCTGATATGGGATATATTAATACCAGGTATGTATCTTCAGCAATTCGTCTTTAGACAAATCCTCAATTATTTCATCACCTGAGTTCTGTACTTGCAGTCATCCTTTCAGAACATTGCCATACATAGACTGATATTGTTGCATTATAGATTAAGTCCAGTGATTATTCCACTGTAGATTCTTTCATTATTTTAGTCATTAAAAAGAGAGACCCAACAAGCTGTGAATTCAGTCTTCATGCTTTTATCTGAAACACTTGTCGTATTCTGATAAAAATTGTATATACATCTATAAGAATAATTTATGACTGATGTCAGAAAGTTTCTGTAACAGTGTTTGCAATCTTTTAGGTCATAGCAGCTACAGTATCAACACTCATACCAGTATCAAAAGGAACAAACTCAGAGGAGGAGAAAAAGGTGAATATCTTTCAATTTTTTGTTGATCTATTTCTGGTTTCTGTCTAGACCTAGAAAACTGATAACAACTCATGTTACTTTCTTATACTAAAAGGAGATACCTATTAGAGATTCATTTTCTTATCTTTACGATCTCATCTTATCTTATCATAATCAACATTTATTAATACAGTTGTAATTTCAATAATCATGATTTATCTGTTAAGTTCGTGAATGGTCACTTAATTATCTTAATTTGAGTGTATTTCTGCATTCTTTTGATTAGTTTTAATTTTCTTGCAGAAACTCGCTTTAATTGCATGCTTAATTTGAAAGTCCTGTGTTTGAATTCTCATGGATAAAAACAGTTTTTTCTGAAATTGTTCCATGAAAAGACACATTCAGTTTCATTTTTTTTCTCTTCAAATTTTATTGTGTATTTGATATCACTCTCACTCTGTAGGGTTCTAGAAAAAGTTTGGAGAACTTAAAAAACATATGATTTTGTTGTATGATGAAAGGATGATGTAAGTATGGATATTGCTACATATCTGTTACATTGTCCTAATTAGTAACTGAAGTCGGGTCTTGTTTGTCAAAATGATGATAAATGTGGTTATAGGCTCCACCAATATTTGATTCTCTCTAGAAAATTTCAGAAATATAATTGAGTGGGAAGGAGGCCCTTCAATTTTTCTCTTTGTAAGTGTTTATTTTATGAAGTATTTTAGAACCTTACTTCCCTTTAAAGTTATAAAATTACAGTCGTTACCTCTTGTCCATGGTGTTGATTAAATGCTGAATATTTCCTTAGTGTCATCCATGTTACAATGTGATATTGATGGTTCCCATGTTGACAGCTAGAAAAAATTGAATCAAACATTGCAAGGCCTATTTTTAGTTCTATGTAGCACTTCAATTTATGAAGCATCATTTTTGTTATATACTCATATTGAAATTTTTTGTTATAATATGACAGCAATTTGTTGTCATTTGAAAAAAGATGCATTTTAATTGAAAAAAAAAGTTTTTTTACTGTAAATGGTGTTGTGTAAAACTTAATTTTTGAATTGTTTCAGCAATTAAATTGCACTAGCAAAATTGAAGTGCTACACAGTAGATTTTTTCAGTGTCTTATGGATAAGATTGTGTATGTGGCTGTAAAGATGTGGTGGTTTTAATTGATTTAAGTATTTGTGGGAGGGAAATCATTGCTAAGTTAGTGTTGGTTGTTGTTTAATGGTGAAGTGATAGCTAATTTGATTTTGGGACTTTGGTTACTTTTTTTTGTGGTTATTGATTTTTATTTTGGATATGTAAATGAACTGAAGTTTGTTTGAAGAAAATATTACATGAACTTCAATCAATGCATCTATGTCTCAATATTTGTTTTTTTAGAAAGAGTCAAATTATCTGATAAAAGTATACCTGAATAGTCCAATATTAAATGTTTCCATTGAGAATCGAAGAATAATGATATTGTAGAAAAACAAATGTACAGGTTGTCATAAAAGAAAATTTTTTGGAACAAAATTGTCTTTAAATATTTCCATGTGGTTAGTCACAATTTAAGGTGATACATTGAATTGCCTCATTGGATATGCATGTATATATAAAACATGATACACTTGCTGAATAAGACTCCTTTGTTGCCAGCTTATCATGTCAATGATGTTCTGCATGGCGGAGTGGTGTTTGCGGATGCCAATTCACCTGCTGCTCGAGACTACAGATACTGACAAGGGCTGCGTTTACAAAGTCTTTGAGGTCAGTAACACATTTCAGGCAGTATTCTCTACAAGTGTCTCCTGGCCCCACTTGTATAAAACATCTCAACTTGAGATTTCCCCAAGTGGAGATTTTCCTCAGCTGATATCTCCTCAAAAACGGCTTGTGTAAAATTTTCTCAAGGAACAGGAGGAAGGCATCGGCTAGGATGTCCTGAAATTCCTTGAGGAATTTTCATACAAGATATTTTCAAGGAGATATTAGCTGAGGAAAATCTGGGCTTGAGGAAATCTCAAGTTGAGATGTTTTATACAAGTGGGGCCTGGTGTGCTATACTCAATAATTCTCTGATCAAAATTTATCCTGTAGAATATTAGATAGTAAAATTCAATACACAATGCTGTAAGACAAATAGTGTTATTATCAATTAACTTTTTTCAAAAAAAAAATAAGTTGACCAGGAAAAAATATTACATTTTGAAGTTAAAGTAATTAATTTATATACAATGTAATAATTAATCCACAGCATATCTTTGTGCAACATTATGACATGACTGGTCTGCTGTTCTTTGTAATAAAATTCATAACATAAATATTGTGACACATTTGTGATAACATTATTGTGACATCATAAATATACTACATTGCAGAATTGTTTTCATTTTCATATCCTGTTGGAATTTACTTTAATGTAACACTTGCCATAAGGCCATGATCAAACTATTGAACTTTTTAGATTTGATGTTATAGGTACTGAACACAGCAGTGCGGGGCCATACACAGGAGTCACTACTGCAGGCCAGACAACTCCTCGCTGGTATGATCCAGGATTCTGACTTTGAATACCTCAGGGATATGTCAGGCTTCCTTCGTAAGGCAAGCACAGATTCCCTCAGCTCTCAAACAGGAGTCTACTCTGGAGAACAAAACCAGGACAAAAATGCCAGCATGGAGCCTGTGGAACTAGCTGCTAGAACGGTAGCTTATCTGTTATCATTAAAATTAAAGATATAAAGATTGTTTTAGATGTTAATGGCAGAAGTTTTAGACAAAAAAAGGTACCTGTTTTATTTTGAAGCATATCATCTTTTACTTCCTGCATTGCAGTAACTCAAAGAATATATCAAATATATCAAAAACATGATTATCCCTGATTTTCTCTACCCCAATTATGATTACTTATTTTCACGAGTGGTTCAGAGCTTCTGATATGTTACAGTTACATGGTTGAGTAATCCATTAATTGTCTTGTTACAGTTGATTGGACACCTCGTGAACCATCTGTGCCATTTCCCAATGGGGGCAGGAGCAGCACGACTCAATAGCAACATACAGGAACACCATGACAATGAGCAGTGCGAGATAGACGACCTTAAACAGGAAATCTTCTTTGCCTCAAACATTCAGGTACACCTCATCACTGTTAAGAGATCTCTGAGATATCAAACTAGAATCAGTTAAGTGTAAACGAATGTTGTTACTTATCAGTGTAACATGTTGAATGACACTGTAAATAGTTAACTTGGGTATTACTAATTAAACTTTGCAAAGAAAACTTGATACTCTCATTCTATGTTCTTTACCTCAGATTTAATACACATGACTCTAAAGTCACTTTTTTTGTTTACCTTGCAGTTTTTTGTGCTGAATCAGAAAACATTGATATCCTTCATAGAGTTGCCTGCACAGGTAGGGAATCTTTCAATCTGTCAATAATTACATTGTATGTGTATAATGAAAAAAATATAATGTTGAGCTAAAATATTTCATGAATTTTAGTTTTTCCTGCTGAATATGGAAAGTACCTAAATTGATATATATATATATATATATATATATATATATAGATATAATTGATTTAAATTCAGTCACAAGGAAGTGAAAAGGACAGAGCTAGGTACATGTCAAGAATGAAGAGATAATGATATTTATATCAATAATTCATCTCTTCATTTTATGCTGTACCACTGATCTCAGAGTCAACTGCTTTGAACTTTATTCTCAACCTGCCAACCCACATCATAAAAAAATTACTACAATATTTCATGATTTTACATATGATTGGTATTTTTTGTGATCAGTTGGATGTGCCAGGTGGAGGAGTGACCGCTGGATTGACCACGGCCAGGAGTGTAGGACGTGTGTTACTGAGAGATCTGACCGGGAAGTATACATGGGAGAGTTCTGTACTCTATGCCCCACCCTGGTGTCAACAGGGCTCATCCACACACAGTAAGTCTTCTTCTGGTCAGTTTTCAATCTACATGTCAAGGTGTGTAATTAAAGTATGTAATAGGGTTTGGAAAGAAACATATTTTATGTATGGGAGAGTAAAAATACATTTTGTACTTCAGTAAAAATGCATTTTGTACATTACTTCTAGAGAAGGATGAAATATGAGTTTTATTAATTTCAGATGCGAAAGTACTATTGGATTTACTGAATGATGGAAGCTTGGAGCCTCTCATTATTCAGGAAGACCTAGAGTCTCTGCCTCTACCAACCAGCACAACAGTGGAACGCCTTGTCAATGAGATTCCTCACTACAGTTCTACATCTGCTGGTCAGGACAACCTCAATGATGTAAGATCTGGCAGCATTGCTTCCCTTGATGTTGGTTTGATATGATGGAAATGTCTACAAAGTTTGAAACATAATTTTTTTTTTTTAATTCTTAAAAAAAATGAAAATAATGAAACAAGACAATTTAAATGAAAATAAGAAAACAAAAACAGTTAGTAACAACCAGTCCTCCATAACGTTTATTAATAGAAAATAGGCATATATCTCACTTATCAAGGGGTACTGCAGATTATCATTACTGTAGAGACATGTAATTTAATCCCTATTAACTAGCCCAAATTTGGATTTGGATTGGGGGAGGGGGGTGGGGGGAATAACTATACAGTATGTTCTTTGAGAAAGCCTTCAAACTTTTGACTTGATTTGCTACAGATGTTGAGATACATTGGTTGTGCCAGTCCTGAATGTCTCCTCATCCCTGGTGTTGCCCTTAACTTGGAAGCACCAGCTCCCGAGGGATTCAGCGAGGATGCTGAGGCTAATATGACCCAGATGGTGATCAAACAAAAGGAGGCAGAACTCAATTTTTACAATCAGCACAAACGTGACACTAGGTAGGTAGACTTCTTGATTGGTGCTATAGGGGCGATGAATATATCCTCATAACATCAGCTTCAGCAAGTTTATTGTTTCAGGATTGAAATAGAAGTATATTTCAAGTCTGAAACAAAAAGTATATTTTAAAAATGTTTTAAAAAATTTTTACTGTGCAAAGAAATTTTGCTGTGGTGTAGAAGTTCGTCATCTATCAATTAACTTTAATATTAAAGACTACTACTTGAGAGCTAAACTGATATTAAATTGGGGAGGCCTAATGAGGACCACAATTGAACATGTTTCTAAAAATTGCTGCTTACAAAGTTTTACTTAATTTGTTGTGAATAAAGCATTCCTGTGGAGAGGCGATACTATTTGGTGAAAAACGTTCTTTACCCAAGACCAGAAATAATTTTGATTATTTTTGACACAACTTTTCTTGATTGACAGTCGCAGCCACAAAGGCTCTCATAGAATGTTTAATTTGTTATTCTTTGTAAATAATCTTTTACTGAATACAAAAGGATTTCCATACTTTGTAAAATCATGATGTACCAAAGATGGCGATATATGATACCCAGGAATGGTATACACATGCCAAGCTGGATATATAATAAGGATATGATAAATGTGATAGTGAGATGTTTACCGGTGAGTGATACATGTCCCTTATGTCATCAGTTTTACTATTTTCACTTTTGTATATTTTGTTTGATATTAGTATTTGTTGATTTAAATATTTATTTATTTTTGCTTTATTTTTCAAGCATCGTGGATTATATTTACTCTGACACTTCTTAACAATCTTTTATTATATCGCTGAAATTCAAATGTTTGCCTATGCAGTTGGACTTTGTTCTCTGTTGGAATGTAAGATAAAGCCTTAGATTTTATGGAAGAGCAAAAAAAAGATCTGGGATAAAATGGCAGAAATATTTAATGAAGTTCAACTGTATATATACTGAAAGGATGATGAAACGCAACTTCTGTACTTATAAAATATTTTGTATTGAATATACATAGAAGTATAAAAATAAAAGGAATATTAGGGCACCTTACCAAATTCCACAATAAATGTCAAAAATCCATAATCCATGACAAAATCTGGTACACCTAAATTACCAACATACCATGACTGTAGGAATGCATTCTTTTCCATTCAAACTGAACTAAATTATTTACTATCACCAAGATGTGTGATTGCCAAAGCCTTTGCAGTCATTAATTGTTTTTATAAATATGCCATGACTCTCCCAACTTTGGAGTTTAAAATTGACTAAAAGTTGGTTAGGTTTATGTCTAAATGCCACGCGAAGATTAATGACAGGTTGAGATCTGGATGTCCACGTGAAATTCAGAAATAGACTGTGGGAGACAAATTTATGCCCGTGTCGCCAGTACATTGGTTTGTCCCTGACACCTCGACATCAAGCTTTATATATGCGATGGTTGACGGCACATGTGCCCAGAGGTTTCCCAATGGGATGTAGGAGATCCATGCTCTTCATGAAGGAATCTTGATTCACATTATTTCACTCAGATAACCATCAACGCTGGGGAGTTTGCAAGAATTTGTAGTGACCTTTCTTGCGAACTCCATGCCATATAGAGATGCTATAGCTGTTCAGGGAGGGCACACACAATATTAGAGATCACTCTGACAACAGCTGTTATTTCAGCCTTGTGTACATTAGGGCACCCCTTATTCATGAGGGCTAAATGAAGTCCTCATTTTGAAAAAAATCTCATAAATGGAAGGTGCAGTATTTGAAGGTAACTTTTGCATTTTACATTTAGGCATATTGCTCATAAACATTATTTTATTAAACAGAAAAGTTGAAGTTGCATTTCTTTTTCCTCTTGGTATATTATAATTCATTAAAATAAAGTTATGCATTGACTAAAACAGTTGATACCTAACAAACTATTTGGATATGCATGAATATTGTATGTGGTTGTATTTAGGTCAAGTTTAGTTGAAGAAAACATATGTATATGCAAATTCCGCTTCATGAATATGCAAATTAGTTTTTGAATATGCATGAGCATCTTTAACAATTTTCCTCTTTGCTTTTTTTTTTATCAGACGAAAGGAAACATTAATTCAGTAAGTGCAAATAGATAAGCACATAAAACATGGCCAAGTGCCATTGGATCTACCAACCCATCAACTTATCTTTCTCTCACAGTATATATTTTTAGTTTACATGGCAGAAAGTGCCATGTGGGTTATGTTATGGAGTGGCGACCGTCTTCTTTAAAATATTTACCTTGCCTTGCAATAGGACCACTTCTCAAGGTCATATACAGCTGTACTTGTTTCATTTTTTTGAATGATAAAAAAAGAAAAAGAAATCCTTTCTGGTGGGAATTTTTGCTTTCTTTTCAATAATGATTATTTAGAACTATATGAACAGATCTCTAGAAGTAAGCTATTGAAACTTTAAATCTACATCCTTAATCGTCCTTTTTGTATTTCTTCCATGGTTTTGTAATCAAAAGCAGTGAGCAGTACAAGTCCCATGGGCCCTCTTGTTTTCCTCTCACATAATTTGCAATTATTTATTTAAACAAGAGTGATATGAACTTTGTTTTTGTTGTTTCCCTGTCATATTTTCTGTGCTGCCATCTTATTTACTTTTCGCATGACTGAATATTACTATGTTGCTGTTTTGTGTATTTGTGGTGGTGAACATATTGTTACATTATAGTTTGTGGAGACTTCTTGAAAGTCACCTGTAGCTACCTAAAAGATGTCAAAGAATTGTTTAATTCAGTGTCGGATTTGTTACTTGTAAATAACAGATTTGTGTCCATCGGTAGAAATCATCATGGACATGTCTTGTATTTTCTGTAAGACAAGTATAGCAGTTAGCAGATTCGTGGGTAGTATAACTACCAAATAGAACTATGCGATACTCGAAATAACTCGTTAATAGATAGAATTTCTGTGTGACAAGAATTTTCTGTAACTGAAGTTAACAAAATTTAAAATTTACTGGTGGTGAAAAGAATGAAAACCAGTGTTAATCTGGGTATTGTATGATCTGCTGTTGTATCAAATCTGTCTCCTCATAGTAGGTATAGCTCTGATTGATCTGTGTTGTTAGGTTTTGGTGTGTGTTGTTTTATTTCTGTAATCTTTTGGTTGCTGATGAGAAAGAATTAAGAGCTAGATTTTGGGAATTTGTGTTGCTAACAAAAATGTAACCAGAGAAAGAATTTTGGAGCAGGAATATTTATGAAGCTAGAAAATATTAACATTTACAAATACATCCATTGTATAAACTTTCTGGGTTTACAGGTGTATTCTTATATCCCATGTATACAGTTATTAATATCTATCCTTCAATATAACACAAGTCAGTACTGTTTATAATCATGGTTTGATATATTCAATTTATACATTGGTATACGAAATGACTGTCAGTTTTGATAATCTCAAAAGTTGATAAAATATCGGATGATTATTGAATCAAATTTATGATAAATACACCAAAACAGATTTTTGTAAGAATTTTTTGGCCAAAGATTTGGAAGAATGGAAATGGAAATTGTAAGTAAATGTTGTAGGTGTTGATATGTGTGAAGTATACCGTAAATGATGTCTTCATATAAACTAGAAAAGTGTAGATATCCCTTGTATACAACAGTATCTGTATGGATTTTACTTAACAATTTTATACACCAGCTAAATGATAGACATTACTTTAGGCTTGATTGAAATATTCTTATATTTGGCATCAACCTACCAATCCAAAAATAAACCATGAAATAAATTCAGAAAGTATAAATCCAACATTTATTTATTGTCATTATTGCAAGTATTGTTTCTGGAATCCTAGGTTTCTACTCTTCTGAATTTGCATATTAGTACTTTCAATACAAATTTCACATATATAAACGCTAATTACTTCTTACTCTTCAAACCTCTGATTTAAATGAATGACTACTTGGTATGATTTATGACCTGAGCCAAACAGAATTTAAATTTGGCACTGTTGTTTTTCAATATTTCTCTCTCATAAAAAAAGAGTATATATATATATTCCCTACCTACTGACCCAAGTTCTTTATGGATATGTTGATCAATGCCAATCAGAGAATATTTTAAGGATAGCCATAAAGGATTTTATCTGCAATTCAATTTCATTTAACAAGAAGAATGTTTTGTTTGCATAAAATCTCAAGTTAATATCTGAATCTCGTGTATTACCTGAGTATAAATGATTGTGTTATTGTAACATTGTGAATACTTGAATTAGGAATTATCAGAATGAATATTTGATTAGGAATTGTTCAAAAAGATATGGTTAATGTGAATTTTGTGGTGTGACATTTTGAGTAGGTCATCAGGAGCTCGACTTCCTCATAGCTTATGTTTAACTACAGCTTATAATACACTAACTGGCTCCAGTTTCCAGAACATTTCCTAACTTAGGAAAATTAAGTTTATTCATTGGGAAGTATCATTGGACTAAAAGGAAAATCCTGATTAAGGATATTTTCATGAAATTTAATGGAAAAATTTTTCATTGAGGACTTAAATTATGGAAAGGTAATGAAACTGGGGCCTGCTCTGTATCTCAGCATTTATCTGACAGTATTTATTTATCATCCTTGATATCTTATTTCTAGTTCCAACTTCTGTTTATTTGGAAAGATTTCAGTTAAATATCAATCTGTTTTTCATCATAATTCTCCTAAATACAATATGTGCTATTTCATAACATTAAAAACTCAATTTGTGAATGACCTTTTTTAAAAGCTTGTTTTGGTAAACTGATAATTGACAATTCTTTCAATGTTCATTGATTTATAAAAAACTAAATACATTTGTATTTTGTACATAAAACAGAAGTACATAGGCTAGCATGTTACTTGGGTTTTAACATGGCAGACATACAAAATCAAATTTTTCCTTTACTCATTCCGATGTTAATACTATGTGAAAAATTCTCATGCAATTCCAGCATTTTTCTGGTTCTGTATCTGATAATTACAATATGTAAACAGTAAAATACACGAATATTTAACCTTATAAGGATAAAATTACTGATGTAAACATGAAATCAGATTGTACAGGTTAAATTAAAACAGAATGTAAAAAGTAGCTCTGGGAATGCCTGATTTGCATGTTCTTTGTGGTAATAATCACTTTTTAATTGATACTGCTATTCATAACATAGTTTATGTTGAAATGTTGACTGACAAAGTAGATGATTTATCACAAATTATCATTCTGTAATTTGAATATTAGATAAAATCTATATGAGATTTGGTATATCTGTCCACAGCATGCTGGCCAAGTCCCAGATGCCCACCGAAATACAGGACCCAGTGTCGCCATTCCAGATCTGTCGTATGTTGGTCGACCAGCTGGGCTTACTGGCATGGGAGAAGAGGTACACCACAAATATTAAAAATATAGTGTCATGTTTATCTGTATGGTGATTAATATGAAGACTCTACTAAAATTGGAAATATATAACTGTAGTTTGAACAAGATTGAATTATCTTGAGAATTATCTTGACTACTTGATTTTGCCACCTTTAACCTTGACCTTTGATCTGTTCTAGGTGCCATTTTGATTTGTTGAAAAAGAGTGACAAATTACTACGGGAGATGAAGCACTTAGATAATCAAAAATGGTGAGTAACTAAGAAAGAGGAACTTTATGGGCTTTTTATGGGGAATTGTAGTGGTAACCAGTTAGATGAGACAGACTTAATAGTTTACACTTTTTCATAAATTCTACATGTTAAGCTGTTAACTAAGCTATCTTCTTTAAAACCTGCAGGATAAACATCATTTGGCAAATTTCCATGATTCAGAGAGAAAACTTTCAGTTGATAATAATGCTAAGATAAACTTCGTGGGGATAAATGGATAAAAAAAATAAAATTCATAATAGTAAATCCCAAAATAGTAAGTGATGTTTTGCTATGATTCAAAGGGCGTAAAAACGTGACAAATCTGCATACTCAGTGTAGGAGTGTTTACAGGTAAGGTGCAATGTCACACTTGCATGATGTCATATCACAGGTAGAATGCGGATTTATTGTCAATGATTGTAAATTGGTGCATATTTACAAAGAGTGATCTTCAACCGCTTTCAAATCAATACCAATGCACTATATCATCTTGAGCATTTCTCCAATAAGTTAATTTTTTCTTTATCTGTATATGTAAATTATTTTTTCTCTTCCATTATTAAGTGAGTGTCATATTGGGGCTTTAAATAATGGGTATTCCAGATTGAGGCGTGTTAATATACTATGTTTTATATCATGCTTTATTTCAGCCGAGAGACCCATAAGTTTGCAGTGATCTACGTAGCGGAAGGTCAGGAGGATAAAAACTCCATTCTTTCCAATTCGGGTGGCAGCAAAGCATTTGAGGAGTTTGTTTCTGGTCTTGGCTGGGAGGTGAGATATGAATGGCAAGAAAAAATTTATGTCAATTCTGATTTGATGATTTTGATGGTAAATGATACTTTTTCCAATCTTCCTTGAAAGAGTTGGCACGTAGGAATATTAAATTGTAGTCGGACTCACTTGTTTTCTTGCCTCATTGTGAGGTTCTTGGTGTTGTACTTATAAGATGAGAGGGTAGATTCTCACATAGTTAAATATTAGATCTTCATAACTGTTCACACATGTCAAGAATGTATTTTGGAAATTTTGTTTTTAAATTCAGATTTGACATTGAAGAACTTTGAATTTCTATTTTTGTTTAATAACTAGTCCACTAGTACAATATCATTCAGTCTGTAGGTGACCGTGTTGTAGACCAGTGATATATCTTATGATTATAACTCAATAAGCATCACATACATTTACCAACTTTTGCAGGAAATATCCTTTGTGATGTTGAGCATAAACATGATAAATCAATTCTCAGGCCCTTTTTTTTGTTAGTGTTATGGCCCTTTGTTCACCATTGGCCTCTTTTTTGTCTTGTGTATATTTTGTATGCTATTTCCCCAAAGATTGTTAAAGTTCTTGCATCATTTCCTATTGGGATTATTGGTTTTGTTACCTGGTACTGTAATTGAATCTTGCTTTACACTTAAAAGTAGAGTTATGGCCCTTACTTGATTACTTTCCTGTTTATCCTGATTTCCTCTCTATCTGTATAAGTTATACAGGAATGTTATCACTGGTATTGTTTTCTGTTAGATTGAGTTGGAGACACACCAGGGCTTTATTGGTGGTCTGCAGCAGAACAGGACAACAGGAGACACAGCTCCTTACTATGCCACCTCCTTGTGTGAGTGTATATTTCATGTGTCCACACGCATGCCATCAGGGACGGATGATGCCAGGCACATAAAGGTATGTGACACAAATATCTTGGTATCAAATCCACCAGGGATAATCTGAATTCTTGATTTAAAATTTTTTTTTTTTTTAATCAATCTTTAAAAGAAAAAGGGAAAATTAAAAAGTTTATATTAACAGTAAGTGTACATGTAATTAACTGTCTTGAACACATTTGGTGGCTGTTTCTCTTAGAAATAGCTGCCAACTGTATTATCTCACCTATATTTTCATTCTGTTTGTATATTGTTGATAGACCATTGATGCTTTGTGACAAAAACATATGAAATGATGGCCAAATATGTGATTTATGTTGTGTCAGATGCGCCATCTTGGAAATGATGAGGTACACATTGTATGGTCAGAACACTCGAGAGACTACAGGCGTGGAATCATACCCACTGAGTTTGGTGATGTCCTCATCATTATTTACCCTCTCTCTAATGGGCTCTATAGAGTCCAGATTAATAAGAAACCTGAAGTACGTATCACAAACCTTATTCAAATATCAGTTTTAAAAATATCACTTTAAATCCACACCTCTTATGAACTGTTAATTTTATCATAAGTACATGCTTGTTGTTCCTTCTGGTTCTGTGTTCATTTGCTTTCTTTCGTTCTTCAATGTCATTGAGTCACAGGTTTACAAGTGATTTGTTTTTGAAGAAGTTGAAAAGATGAAACTATCTCATTGGTATGGTATTGAAATCTAGCAGGAGTTTTTGGATATAGCCCCCGTAAACAAAATTCAGCAATGTTACTGATACTGGTAAATTAATTCTATTGGTTTGTTACAGATACCTTTCTTTGGTCCCATCTTTGATGGTGCAATATTGGATCGTAAAGTGTTACCTGGTCTAGTCCGAGCTACAGCAATCAATGCCAGTCGTGTCAAACGTAGTCTCATTCCCTTCTACCACTCCTTGTATCCTTAGTCACTGTTGTTACTCAGAGCGTTATTTTTAATCTCTACAATAAAAGTTGTCTTCATGTTTTCTCGGGAATTGTGGATAGACGTTCAGTCTGTTCTTCATAATTCATCTCTATAAAGAATTTAAATTTTTAGTATTCAAAGTACAAAAATTAATACAAGTTACTAATTCTCCTGTAATGTATGATTTTGCTGACCACAAGACTTTGTTTTGAAGAAGGATATTGTTGAAACTTTTACATTCATGATCAAGTTAATAAAAATTGTCAGATTAGTTGTATTCCTTGACTACCAAACCAGTTATGAAGAACGTGCCAAAAGTTTTAACATGGTGATCCAGCACCACATAGATCTAACCATGTTTGAGGACTTCTCAGCTAGTGTCTTCTCACCTGTGCTGCCTCCAAACTCCACTAGTAAGTTCACTTTCACATCACTTCTCTGCAATTATACATTTATTCCTAATGACACCATGACCTTCAATTTCATCAGTTTTTAAAGTGGTTTGAATTGTTTTAACAGTTCGTCTTATACCGACACTCCATTTTAAATTGTTTAGTATTAACAAGATATGATAATGAGACCACTCTGATTGTTTGGGTATTTGGGAGTCTGTTTGGTTGTTTAAGAGACCAAAATCTGTCATCATTGAAAGTTTCCTTTTTGCCTGAAAGTTTCAGACCAGAGCCTTGATCTGCCCCCCAGTGCTAGTTCTAACTCTCTGGAGCTGACCCAACAGGCTGGACCAGAGCAGGTGTCGCCACCTAGTGGTCGCCAGAGCAGAGGTAGGAAAGCTCAGTCAGCCCTCTGGCACAAAGGACGAGACAACCTAATTTTCTTTTGAGCTGTCATTGTTGGCAAGGTTTTTATTGTGCGAAAGTCGGTGTTGGTGTGTCCGTTGCTGTGCATGTTTTGTAACGGCTGCATTATTAAATTGTTAACATGCCTTGGCAGTCTATTCACACATTTTCCCCACACATTTTATAAATAACGCTAGTCAGTTTTATCTGTATTTTATCTGTAGAGTAACAAAGCGTAATTTTTCTCTTATAAAAGGTAAAAGGACGACATTTTCAAAAATGTCATTCTGTACAAAAATTGATTAAGCTATGAATTCATTTGTTGATAAATTGTGCTTGGTGTGGTTAACTGTGAAACATGCTGTGCTTGTATTTGATGAGTTTACAGTTCATAAAACTTTGCTTCTTATTTTTGGGGAAAAACTGAGAAATTCAGATTTATTTTTATTGCTTTACCCATTGTTTCTCTCTTGTTTTTCTTTGTCACTACAGATTGCTACTTAGGGTGGGGGAAAGGGCTATGAAATACTCTCTGTTTATAATTCAGGATTAGAAAAGAATACTGGCATGAAATTTGGTGTACACTTCATATTTTTTCATTCAGATGCATTTTATCTTACAAGTGAAACACATTGAAATACGGTCACATGGTCAGGAAAATAGGAGTTTAGATAGTGTAGAAATTTAGTTTACCCATTCTCACTTGTTTGCAAGTATGTCTTACCATTTAAAGACTTGGTATCCACATTCATGAGGTTGTGTTTTAAGCTTGTTGTAGAAATGACAATTTTGCATATTTCCAAGTGAGTTAAAGGAGCAGTGTACTAAGTGAAAGTCAAAGAATTTTTTTTTTTGCAAAATTTTACCAAAATTATTAAGAAAACTATCCCAGAATTAATTGTTTCCATTTGCCTTTCAAATATTGCTGGAAAGGATAAAAAAAAAAAAAAGGGAGAGAAGTAATGACAGCTGAGATGAATTTCAGTTACATGCTGTTTTCTTTCCTGCAAAATCAAAATTTATTAGAAGGAACTATCTAATTGTAACTTCAAGGAGTGGACAAGCAGAAAATGATTCACAGTTGATTATCAAGTCTCAATAAATGTATTTCTGAATGCTTTGTGTATTGTATACTCTGATGTGAAAATCTGGGAGTCCACTTTTGGCCTTTGTTATTATTGACATGTTAAGCCCTTTACACTTAGCTGTTATACCTCAATCAAGTGACTTTTGCAGAAGTCAGATTCATCTATAAATAGTTGTTGTAAACATGGCCTTATGAAAGACATTCACCCATTTTCGACACAAGGTATACAGTTTGAAGCATTATAGCTAACTAGTCTAATCAACTAATATAGTATACACCCTTCTCTTGTGTAACATCATATCTTATATCACTTATTTTATAGTTACATTTTTCTTTTTATTATACAAATATTTGTATCTGTATATATATTGTATATAATTTTTAAATACAAATCTTTCTCCATTAACTCGAAGGAATCTCTTTATAATGAATGTAGATTTGTTTGAGCTCCAATATCATCTGTCTTTATTGTGAATTGAGATGCTTGAAGAGAGGATTAAAAAGTGGGATATTAAATTATTATCTCCGTGAAATATGAACAAGTTCAAGAAACAATAGTTTGTAAAGAATAGTAAAAAAAGTCCTTGAAATAATGAAATACAAAATAAGTGACAATGAGAACTGCAAAAGTTGTGCTTTGTTGTGAAATACATTTAAAATGTGTACAGATCAATTTATTTATAAATCAGAGTAAAGATGTCGATAAATGTGGAATTCAACTTAGGAATCAATGGAAGAATGTTGCTGCAGAGAGCAATGAGGTTTAATGCATGAGATTTAAACATGGGATATACTTCCAAAGGAAACATGTTTGTGTGTGCACACATGTACCTTATGTAGTAGACTGCACTTACATGATAGAATGAAGCTTTGTACGTTTTAATGTGAATGTATCATCTTATGAATGCATCTTTATGTATGTTCACAAATTTAAGGACCAGATACAGGTAATAACAATTTTAAAAAAAAAAAAGATGTTGATTCAGCAAAAGTATGTTTTCTCATTTAACAATGGCAACTTTACTTATATTAGTAGATCTGGTTGTTTTAGTTGTGTTTGACAAGCAAAATTCCAATAATGCCAGATATGTGTACAAGTCAGAGTGCTGAGTGTATATGTGTGTGATGTCATTGTATATTGTAACCATGGTGAAATGGGAGGCTGGTCCCTCCCCAAGTAGTTATCAATAAACAGTTACATGTCCCCCAGATCACTTTGTCATTCATTTACTTAACCATAGCATTTTGATGTCCCATTTGTCCAAAATGTTTCTGGGAATTATGAAGTGATTTATGAACGACAAATGGATGAATGAATGTTGTGTAATAGTTGCTGTTCTCATATGATCCCTGAATCAGATAAAATTCCTTTTGTAATTACACTGTTTGCATTTTCTGCATTCAAAAAAAGCAAAAAACAAAACAGAAAAAAAGACAACAAAAACAGAGGATTTTATTGTCACAAATTTTTGCAAAGAGGTACCAGGTCATTTATATTACATGGAGATACAATGGAAGTGGTGCATCTCTTTTGTATTTTAGTTGTCCAGTTCCCTCAATATAACTCTTTACCGGGGAAAGTGATCCTTCGTCGGGTCGGACAGCGCCAGTCAGCCGTGGACACACTTTAGGTACTACACAATGGAATGTCCACTTGTTGACCTGTGTGTGACAGCCCTCTATCCCTCATAACTAACATAAAAAGTAACATGTATGAATGACCACTGCTCTCTGTAATAAATTGTATGTAAACCCAAGAAATATCACTTGTTACAAATGGTTCTCGTTTCCAAAAGTAAGCTTCAATGAGAATCCTTCCAAAATTGTTCATGACAATTAATATTTTATTGTTTTTCATGGGATGTATGCAAGTATTTATGGATGAAAAGAGTTAGAATGACAAAAGAGAAATTTATGTTTTTTATTCAATATAGTATGGGAAATAACTCTTAAGGTAAGGTACAAGTACCAAGTGTCAAAGGTTACACCTCAAGAGGATTATGGGTGATATCAATGTATACAAGCTTAACTGATGGTTGACTGATATCATTAGCACTGGATCCAAGTACTAAACCATAACAAACACATGCAATTTTGAAAATGTATCAGAGATGTGTTGATATAATGATGGAGAAATTTCATGAGCATGGTATAGTGACCGCAGAATAAGGAGCGATGACCAGTACGTTGTGTACGAAGACATTCTCGGTGTGTAATACCTCCTATTGACCACTATAAGTCCAGCCTTCAGCCTGGGGTGAGTTCTGGATATTGTCTGTGGGTGTAACTGACACGGAAGACCAGTTGTAGATATTTTTCTCACTCTTCTCAAGGGACCTGTATACTATATTTAGACAATTACCACCACAATAAATTTTGTTGGAATGAAGGAAATTATCGCTACAAATCTTCATTACAAAGTAAATTGAATATGAGATAAAAAATACTCAGTTGAGTTTTTAACTCGGATGTAAAGTGCAATTCTGTGCGATCTGGATTGTACTTGAGAAGAAGTCAAGTATGGAAGTGGGGATCTTGTCTAAATATGGTATATAGGGTACAGGAGGGATACAAAAATTTTATGTTTGTACACATGCTCCTGAAGAGGGAACTTGCTGCATGGAAAAATTTGCCGTTGTCTTTTTAGTAATGCAGTAGAATATCGTTTAATAGTTCACATGTAGTATGGGGTTTTATAGCATAGAAGTATTCATGTCTACTTTGTAGTAGTTTTGCTGTGTATGAAGCAGTATTTTTAAGTAAAAAAAAGTTGCTGAAAAAACATGTTCAGAATGACAGCAACAATATGAAGCAGTACTTTTCTTAAAAATGTTATTTTTTTCAGTTGTTTGGATAAACAAAAGAACTGTGATAAAACACATGGATAAACAGAGTAGTATTAGTAGTAGTAGAAAATCTGTAATTTAGTGGATTGACAATGTTTTGTTGGTACATGTATGCTACTTTTATCCTGTCAGAAGACCAGGGCGAATACATATAGGTCTCTGTCTCAAAGTAGAGTAATGGGCTTCTTACAAGATAATAAAACAGCATTTGTTAGTATTTCTACAGAAATTGCAATGGTTGGGATGGGCTTATTACCAGGCACGGGCTTATCGGTGGATAAATACAGTAGTATTAAAATTCTAGAAGGAAAATGAATGAGAAACCAATAAGAAATATGGACTGCAAAACTCCACAGCAGTGATTGATGAACTAAAAGGTTATAGGTTCAATTGATTTATCAATATTTTGCTCTGGTTTTATGTGTGTGTGTGTGTGTGGGGGGGGGGGGGTTCAAAATCTATTCAAGAACCTGATCTGGGATCCCTGTATGTGAAAAAGTTGGAATCAATCCCTTTGTTATATGGGAAAGTTGTAATCCACCCTTTGATAGGGGGAAGTTGTAATTCATCCCTTTATAGGGGAAAGTCATAATCCATCCTTGGATTAGGGAAAGTTGTGGTCTGGATGAACATTCTTTTGAATGGGTTTCCACAATATTCAAGTTTTGAATCTTGGAAAAGTTTCCTTTTATCACATTTTCTGAAAATAACATGATTGAAATTCTTTAATCAATTTTTTTTTTAGTTTTAGGTTAAGATCTTTGACTTCTGAATGTTATGCCTTGCTTGATTTGATAAGTATTTGTGGCTTGTTAAGGTCATTTTCTGAAAATATTTGAAGGATATTTGTAATTGTAATTATTACGAGCTTCATCTCTCAGAGATGCTTGCTTGATACTTGAGACTTGATCATAGTGTTGTACGTTGAAGTTGGTATGGTAACATTTAAGGGTTTATGTACTATTTATTAATAATCAATAATGACGAGTTCATTCTTTATCATTATTCAGTCATTTCATCAGTCATTCAGTAAATACGGTTTGTTCATTTAC